TTTGACAAGTTTCAACTAACATTCGATGAATTAAAGTAAATTTAATACAAAGTATATATGTAGAGCAGGGCGAGACACAAGGGTCAATTTGACTTTGAACAAATATAAACTATATTATGAAAACCAAACCAATTATATCACAACAAATAACATATTTCAAACGAACAATTATCTGACTACGTTCAGTAAAACTACCAGCTACTTCATCATTGTAGAAATGTGCTTTTTTGATGTAAAGACGGGGTAACTTGGAACGGTCAGGTGGCGGATCATTTTATCGAAAGCAACATATTTATATTTAAGACTAGCTGACCCGACAAACGCTGTTTTGCTAAGTAAAATATATTCTAAACAATTTCTAGAGAATCAAAAATATTATTACCTTAAGTGTATAAGGATGTGTTGTTTGAATGCAATGCTATATACAATAAGGTATTATAAAAACAATAAATCCCATTAGTTTGTCTATATTTTGTCAATACAATCAAATTGGAAGATTTATACACTTTCTATAGAAAACATAGTATAATCCATAGGTGGGGAACCTGCGGCCTCGAGGCCGCATGCGGCCTTCGGGAGGTTCTCGTGCGGCCCCTTGCCGCCTATTACAGAATAGCAGAAATACTTTCAAACAACTGTTGTACATCAACGTCATGACAGTTCCGCGAAAAACTCCACCAAAAACAGTCATATTGTAAAATGACATCAGATTATTAGCCTGAAACACAGACTCTTAGGCAGATACAAAATAGGGATGTAATATATTATATTAATATTATTTAATATAAGCAATATTTTCGATATCGCAAGACATCGCCTATTATATGATTCAAGAAGTATTATAAAAAAATTAACAGTGCAAAAGAATCGTTAGCACCCGAGTTGAAGATTGTTATGCGTATCCGTAGTAAAATGATAAAAATTTATACTTCTCGCAACCAAAAGCAAATCCGCAGCTTTGGCGGAGATCGGAGCAACCAGATTTTACCTAGATATATTGGAAATTTTATGAGACCATAGTTATGAAATGATACAAAACTATACCCTTTTTGCACATAATATATAAAATTTATTTATATTTAAAACTTGAACTATAAATATAGAGTAAGGTATTCGAAATGAGAACAACTCAAATGCAAAATATAAATTAACAATACATTTTGTGCATAATAAATGCATATTTTAATTAAAATATTTCTTTCACGTTCATTATTGTTCACATTATCAAATAATACGCTCATTTTCATGGGTGAACATTATTATTCTCTAAATGAAATAGGTATATCATTTATTATTAATATTTTTTAAATTATATTCTTAAATGTCCGTCAATAGTGTCTAGATATATTTCTTTTGGAAAGGCATAACGTTGCGTTTAATGCATTAATCCTTTTTTTGTTATGATAACTATTGTCATGAATGACAACAAGCAGGAATATGCATATCAAAAGTTCGCAAATGAATTTAATCTGGTTTTTCCAAAGCCCGAAATTCCTTAAATTAACCGTTAACACCTTAGTTTGCAAAATAAAAATCTATCTAATTGAATACTTTCTAAAATGAATACTTTCGTCACAAAACGATACTATTTTTTAATTAATGAGTATTTTTCTTTTTAAAATAAATTAGCCCATATTAAATCCATAAATAAATACTTTTGTCACAAATAATACTATTTTTTAATTAATGAGTATTTTTCTTTTTGATATAAATTAGCCGATAGTAATGTTATAAATGAATACTTTCATCACAAAACGATACTATTATATAATTATTGAGTATTTTTCTTTTTGATATAAATTAGTGGCCACTATTATTATAAATGAATACTTTCGTCACAAAACGATACTATTTTTAAATTAATGAGTATTTTTTCTTTTGAAATAAATTAGCCAATACTAAATCCATAAATGAATACTTTTGTCACAAAACAATACTATTTTTTAATTAATGAGTATTTTTCTTTTTGATATAAATTAGCTGACACTATTATTATAAATGAATACTTTTGTCACAAAACGATACTATTTTTTTTTAGTATTTTTCTTTTCGAAATAAATTAGCCACACTATTATTATAAATGAATACTTTCGTCACAAAACGATACTATTTTATAATTGTTGAGTATTTTTCTTTTTGATATAAATTAGCCGATACTAAATTCATAAATGAATACTTTCGTCACAAAACGATACTATTTTTTAATTAATGAGTAGTTTTCTTTTTGATATCGATCGAATTACAGATCTATTTCACTTTTTAATTCTTTTGATAAGGTGTTTGAAAAAATTTTGCACGTTAGAATCTCTGGCTTCTTGAATAAATACAATATTTTGTTTCACAACCAACATGGTTTTCGGAAAAAACACTCTACATCGCACTCATCCAAGATGTTATTAACTCATTTGAAGATGGAAGTTATTTTGTAGCCGTCTTCTGCGATCTCTCCGAAGCGTTCGACAGTATATCTCACAATATTCTCATTGATAAGTTAGAAATGTATGGTTTTCGTTCTAGCTCGCTTAAATTACTAACATCTTATTTAACAAACAGAACTCAAAGCGTATATTTGGACAATAGCACCGATGGAAAAATTATATCCAGGAAATTAAATGTGAAAATGGGTGTCCCACAAGGATCAATTCTTGGACCGGTCCTATTTCTTCTTTACATTAACGACCTACCTAATTGCTCAAATCTTTGTGACTTTATTTTGTTCGCTGATGACACTTGTCTTACCATCAAAGCTAGAACATACGATGACCTCGTAACGAAATTGAACAGTGTCATGGATTCCGTTTCGAAATGGTTCAATATAAATAATCTTCTCTTAAACAATGACAAAACCCAAATTATCTCTTTCTGTACAGCAACGCGCGCAGTGAATGATATTTTTTCATTTACGATTAATAAGCATTTATTTGACTCCTCTTCAGTATCTAAATTTTTTCGGAGTTTATATCAATGGTCTGAACACGTTTCCAACCATTTATGCTTCAAATTAACGCGTACATGCTTTATCCTGCAAACCCTTAAATCAAAAATTGGAATATCCAGTTTACTTTCTATTTATTACGCAAAATTCTATTTACACATTGCTTACGGTATCCAATTTTGGGGTTTCTCTAATGAACTAATTAAAGTTTTTAAACTTGAAAAGAGAGCAATTCGAATAATTTTTTCACTATCCTCCATGACATCATGCCGTAATATCTTCACGGAACAAAAAATTTTAACAGTACCGAGTATTTTTGTTCTAGTCACACTTAATTTCATAAAAAATAATCCAGACTCTTTTAATTTGTCTTCTATGTAAAATACCAAGCACGATACGAGACATAATCGATAAAAGACAGTTCCTTTAATACTATTTGCGGTATGGGTATACAATTTATGAATAAACTGCCGTTACGTGTTCGTACCCTTGATAATACGAAATTTCATAAAGTAGTAAGTAATGCATCAAAAGGATTTAACTTTTTATAGCCCTCTGGAATTTCTAAATTTAGATTTTTCAAATTACTTTCCCGAAAATCTCAACTAATCATTAACGCGACTTTTCCCCCTCGAAGAAATTTCTCTATTACAGGCAGCAGCAAGATCGATGGATCGACGATGGCAAAAATCCCTACGAATCTACGGGCCCAAACTAACTGATGTCACCTACCAGCCATGTCTATGCCTACTATGCTCGTCACAACATAATTCGTTCGTTAAACTAAATACTTCTAAATTTCTATTATTATTATTATTATTTCTTTCTTTGTTTTTTTTTCTTTTCTTTTCTTTTTTTTGATATGACTGTTATTGTTATATTGTTAAAATACTTAATAATTAGTTAATTAAACACTTATAATTTAAAAAACACTAAAAAAATTGAGAAACAAAATATTGATCTTTTTTTCTGATTATTATTTTCATATGACTCTTATTGTTAAAATACTTAATAATTAGTTAACCAAAAACTTATATTTTAAAAACACTTAAATTGTGAAACAAAATATTTCCTTCATCAAAATACCTTAAAATTTGTAAAAGAAAAACATTATTTTGTTAAAATATTTAACAATAATAATAAAAATGATGATAATATTTTTATTATTAATAATAATAATAATTACAATAATATAAGACACTTAAATTTGTTAAAATATCATAAAATAACCTAAAATTTGATAAATAAAATAATCATATTGTAAAAGTATTGTAAAGCTTATTAAAATACTTATTAAATTTTTAAAAATACTTGCAACAAACAAACGAGTTATATTTAAAACTAATTATAATTAACTAAATATAATTAAGTTTATAGTAAATAAATTAAATAATAAATAAATAAGTAATAAAATAGCTAATAATTAATTATATTATATTAAACCTATAAAATATTGACTTAAGCCTTATTATAATATTATTATACCGACGGCTTGTGAAATTAATAAATAAATAAATTTGAAATTAGTATCGAAAAATTATTGTTTTAAACATTTCGAAATATTGAAAATGATGCTAATTTAACAGCATCAAATACAGGCAATAGAATTTATCATAATATTGTAATTCGATATGTAGAGAGTTTTAGATCTCTCTTGCACTTATGTTTGATTTTGGTGAAAAGTACTCAATATTCGGTACTGAGTAGTATCGATACTTTTTCCACGATACTTTTTTGGAATCGATACTTTGCCTCGATTCTTTTTTCAGTACTCGGTATCGATACTTTACCTCGATACTTCTAACACTACATGCTACGGAAAGGTAATAAAGCGTAAATATTAAGCTAATGAATGAAACAATAAAATATTTAATGTATAATTAGACTTTTATTTATAAATTATCTCAAAAATAAGTTTATTATTTTTTGAAATCATGGAGCATTTAAAAACATAACAATTTGAATGTGGAATGTAGAATTGAACTCACAAATATGCGAAATACAATTTAATATTTATGAAAGTGAAAAAAATATTTTTACTCACCTAAATAATTAACAATTTCAGAGGAATGTACTGCTGACCGTTGCCTCTGGGCCCCCTGTCAGCATGGTGGCAAATGCTTAAGAACCGAAAGCGTAGGAGATGCGCAGTGTCTTTGCCCTCTCGGTTTCAGTGGTGATCTATGTGAGACCAGACTTGATTTGCAGGTTTGTTAGTTTCATTCATACACTAGCCGATGTACCCGATGCAGTATGTATTAGAAGCGTCAGCAAGTGAAATGTCCAAATGAGCATAATTTTTTAAGATTTTCCATTTCTGACATACAACATGACATGAAACAGATACATGGCTATTGATTATCCTTAAATCTTCGAAAGATGTTGGCAAACAAACATTGATTAAAAGTAATCTAAGACTAGTGGTATATGGCATCATGCCTCATATGAAATTGCCGAAAAATCGCGTACAAAATTAATTTTTTTAAAAAAGAACTTTGAGAAAAATTGTTTTTTCAGAATTTTAAAATTTTTGAAAAAAATATATTTTTGATATTTTTTTATACTATGAAATATTTAAGAAATTTTGAATCTTTTTGAAGTAATCGCGATACCATAGTTGCAAAAAAAAAAAAATGGAAGCGCGTGAGCGCCGCGTCGCAGTCTAACGGATAAACATTAGTACGGAAACCATAGAAATGTAAACTAAATTTATTTCCATTATTAAAATAACTATAAAATATTTGATAATTTGATGCGAATATGTCTAATGATCTTTTTGTCCGCCAAATGGCATTTTTATTTACTTTTTTTATTGGATCTCTGAAACCGCTAGACTAGCCCTTCATCAGTTCTTCACTTCGTCAATACAAATGAAATGTTTTTGAATCATTCAAATCGGACGCTCCAAATCTCAAAAATTGAATTATCATTTTTGGCACGTCTCCTTATCATAGAAATTGAATGTTATTTAAATCATTCAAATCGGCTGGTTCGTTTTTTCTAAATCGTACACATACGTACACATATATGCACACACGCTCGGAGTTGAAGATAAACTGCTACCGGGCGCGTCTCCGGCTGTGGATTGGTCTCCTTCCTGTTTCTAATTTGCGAAGCTTGTTTAGCGATTAGAAACATAGGGTGAGAGTGAAATAAAATAGCTCCCGTATACCAGAAACGTTTACAGTACAGAGGAGGGATACTTTAGTACTGGCGGCCGAGGGTTTGGAAACGGGCCCGAAGTTGTCGTCATCATGCGACCGTTTGGACAGCGAAGTGGATGGTTTGTATGTCAAGAAATGCTACTGAGAGTATAAAGAAGAGCATAAAGAATCAGATGATGGAGGCTTTCAAACGTTTCGAAACACTCCTCAACGACCTTTACAAGATGATTAATTCAAAATCAAATATTCACAAGGTGATAAAGACGAAGACGAGTAGTATTGCAGTCATTAGAGAGCCTACGGCGTCCGACGTCAAAGGGACACCGGAACCGAAGCCGACGTTGAATCTGTAGCTGAAGAGGTAAGAAAAAACTTGGGCACTGGCAAAAGGATAGACCGGGATTCTCCAGAACCGACATACAGTCAGGTAATGAAAAAAATGACTTAAAACCAAGTCTCCCAAAGATTGTGGCAGAGAAGAATTCCAAGCTGAACCGAAGGAGCGCCGGCTGGAGCCCAAGAGGAAGAAAACGCGAATTTTATTCAAACCGGGTTAACCTGGAAGATTTGCTGGGAGACACAGGTGACAATCGAAAGTAAAGACATTGATGGAACAACAAAGATTTTAAATCGAAAGTAAAGACGGAACAACTACGACCGACATTCAGACTGCTCTGAAAAAAGCTGCTGGAGAAGCCTGTGAGCTTCTATAGCCTTTAAGCTTATAGCTACGTTACCAGTGGCTATGGCGCAGAAATTGTTTGATATAGTCGGCAAAATGCGGATTGGCTGGGTAAACTGCCGTATAAGAACATCTAATAAGCCAATTCAGTGCTTTTGCATTAGATGCGGACAAGAAGGGCACAAAATCGCTAGCTGTCCAAACCAAGCAAAATGTGCACTATTCGCTTGTTCGATGAAGTTTTTGAAATAAAAAGTTACTTTAGATTAAAGTTATTCAAATAAGTAGATGTATTTCAATTCATATTGAATAAGAGTGTTATGTTCATGTATCGGAAAGTTAACGCAACAGTTTTAAATTCTTAGTAAACAAAACGTCTTTATTATTAAAAACTGGTGTTAAGGCGTGATACACCTAACTGTTGCCTTTGCCATTTTCACTTTAAACAAAATTAATTACTACACTTTTAAAAACTGGTGTGCACTGTAATTATTAGAAGATGAATAGAGGGCAATAGACATAAAAATATAAAAAGTTTATTAAAATGCTTGAGTAACTAATACGCGCTAGGCTTAACATCTGCCTAGTATCGCGACTAACTGAATACTAACTTATATATTTTAAATTGTAACATTAAAATTGAAATATAATGAAATTTCTGCGTAGAAGAAGCAGTTCACAAATATATACCATTACTATTACAAAATTGGAATTTTTCTATAATCCGTATTTGAATTAATGTACCCGCATTATCTTGGAAGGGAGCATGAGTTTATTACAAGAATAAATATGTATAATAAACATTTACCATAATCAGTTTTCCTGTACCATAGAAATTAAATTAATAATATAACAATATAAGAAAGGGATACGTATTTACTTAAGCCATGGAAAAATTATCTAATCTGAATGTGCATCCTGTGCTCACTCAAAGTAAATAATTCAAAGATAAAAAAAATATTTAAAAATGAATTCTTAATACTATTAATAATAAATATAATTCAAAAGAATTCTTAACAACTGGAAACAATTGTGTTATTATTATTGGCTGTGCTCCTAGAAATAAAAAACTTATTTCTATTCTCTACATTCAGTGCTCCGTATCTCCGTAACGGCTGCACCTGTCAAAAACGAATCACCACATCTCCCTATTAATAGGAATCGAATGTTTTTTGAACCTTCAAATCGGAACCGATCCGTACCCTCGAAAACGTGTACGAAAAATTGCGGACTCACAAAACACAAAAACACGTTCAGAAACTTCTTAAACATGAAAATATGCAAAAAAAATCATTTTCAATTTTTGGCCCGTTACTATACCCTACAAAAGTTAATAAAATTGTTGCTTTCACCAAAAAATAAGCCATGCGAATTTCAATTGATTGTTTTTAAACATACTTATAATATCGTAATTACAATATAAGTTAAATTAATTTGTTCAACAAACTTTCGGCATAGATTCTGATTAGAATCGCTCAATCGATGAAGTTCTCAACTTCGATTGTTATTTCAAACTACGAAATTTGTTGTTATACAAGGTTTCATAAATTTAAAAAAATCTACATTTAATTACAAAGAAACGGTCTGGTCTGGCCAATATGTTTCGATTAGTATTTGAATTTTTAAAATTAATTCAAGATAGTGAGGAAACAGCTTAACCAATTGTCGAGCAAAACTAACAAGCGCTCCTTACGAGCCACATAAAATGGATTTTAAATTATTGAAATTGGTCTAATCCTTTTATGAGAAATTTCAACCAGTTTCGAATGATGAAAAATCGGCTTTTTCCAAATATGAGCTTCTTTGATTGAAAAAGATTTGAAAGGCCGAGAAAACATAAAATTATAGCAGATCAGAGTTTTTCAATAAAACAAACTTTTTTTCCAGGAATTATTTAATAATGTATATTCAAATTTTAAGAAAAATTTTTACGTTTATCGAATCTGTATTTAGTTGGCTTTGAATGTTCCATGTTACAAAAGTGAAATGTCGAGTCGAGTATTGGTAAATGGATATTGGTAAATTAAATAATATTAAAAATGCTTAATAATAAAACATCATAAGTCTTAAATGATATAAAATAGTTCAATTATAATTACTTATAAATAAAATAAAATGAAACTCGGCATTAGTAATATGAGCAGTAATTAAGCATATGTAATTTTAAATAATATAAAATGTAGACAAATAATTCAGATTTATTTATCATTAATATCATTATTTATTACACTATTCATAACAGTTTAAGGCATGTGTGTGGTGTATGAGTTCCAACTTGCAGAATTGCATTTATTTTTAAATATCAAATATCATGTCAGTATTTATAGATAACATTGAACTTTTCTAGAAAAAAATGTTTTTTCATATCATTTTAGGTACCAGCATTCAATGGATCTTCTCATTTAATTTTTCCCGGTCTAGAGGATGCTTGCTCTTCATGGCTCGAATTGCAACTTACAATAAAGCCTCACACAGGAGATGGAATATTACTTTACAATTCGCAAGTAAAATACCTTATATATTCAATAGAATTAGCTTTAGTAAAATGGTAAATTTTATATAATGATGCTTCTAAATTGATAATAATATTACAAATTAGCAGTGGCATTTTATATTGCATTAAGTTTTTTAACAGAGACTCGAGCCATCCAAAGGCAATGACGGACTTGGTGACTTCATAGCTTTATATCTAAGTAGCGGCTACGTTGGATTTGCATTTGATCTTGGTACCGGTACTGCTGTTGTGAGGTGAGTGATAAATTTTTATATTTCAATATAAATGAAATGTATAGTTTTTCCATTCATATAGGTGTAGGGGCAAGTCACCTAGTGGCGGACACCTAAGGTTATTTATAAATAAATCAAAAAATAAATCACGAAATATTCATTAAATTATGATTCATGTTAGATAACAAAGTTAGAAATCAAACAAAATTAACAAAACCGCAATCTTTGCTAAAACATAATTAATACTATCAATCAAACTTTGGTATAAAAAATTATGATTTGAACAGTGGCACCTAGTACCGGACATTTCAAAATAACCTGCATTGATCACATATGGAGCCATCTCCACACTTTGGAATGATTGCACATGTGTCTTTGACGAATATTCTTATATATTGCAAAAAAATCACTATTTATACACCTTTTTGGCTGGGCCATACCGATGCTCTAAGCTGGAGCATTCATCATGAGATTTTCATTCTTTGACTAGGAAATACGAAGAATGGAGTTATGTAGTAACCGTTAGCACTCATACAGAACAAAATTAAATAATTGGAATAAATTAGGTAAATTATCACAAGAAATATCAATATGTTTTCTGTCCGGGACTAAGGGTCGACTTAGTGTCCGGTGCTAAGGGACAGACATTTTCGTTCATTTGGTGGCACCTACTAAAATTGGTTAAAAGATCTAATAATATTCTATCATTTTATTGATAACAATCAAGCACAACTTTTATGTTTGTATACCACTCAAATGTAAATGCATAAATATGCTAGAAGTACTTTCATTGATATTTAGGTGACGCCGTGATTTTGCGCCTAAAACGGGAAAGGGTTGCTCTCGCCGTGGCCATGTGCGTCACAGGCGAGGTTTGGCGCGTGATCCTGTACCTGTGTGCCCCCCTTGCCCCTTACACTTGTATTTGAAATGAAAAGATTTATACTCGCTTAAATAATACGTGTTAAATAGTGTGTCCGGTGCTTGGTGCTGTCCGGCGTTACGAGACTTTCCCCTATAGAACTATCTGCGTGTAAGTTGCACTTTGTCTTAATGTAAGTTGAATGAAACTTCTAAAATAAATAATCGATTTATTCAATAACAGTTGGGGTTTAGCAAGTTTTAAAACAAAACAGAAAAAAAGTATTCGCTAAAAACTGCTAAATGCGAATTCTTATCGACATTTTTCATATAGGCTTATAACACCAAAATAACGTCATTCCGAATACCGGGATTCCAGACGATTTTTGTCTGGCATTCCATATTGGTATTGATATAAAAATACCGGTATTTCGGTGTTACTGGTATTTTGTTAAAAATTGAACTTACACAATATGTTTTACACATGCTGAGTATGACAGCATTGATAAGCGGCGGTGTCGAAAATATAAAATGATTATTTGTATTTCAACCCAGTAAACCACAAAACACAATGAAGCCATGAATGTTACGTAGTGTCGCCACGTCCGCACGTAACAAGTACGTAACCTGGGAGGCACGCAGAAGTATCTATTTCGCGGGCAACAACGAAACGGCTGTTACCTTGCACACTAACACGACGTGGTTGCATTTTTTCTACGTATCTAATTTGAATAAAAAAAGCGAGTAGGTGTCTTTTATGGTACATGATAATTTAATTAAATTACTTGCAAGTATAGAATCTATTTCGAATATTTAGTAATTTTATTAAATAATTTCATTAACATTGTACAAAGATTGCAAATCATATAGTTACAACATTAGAAAAATAAAACTTAATAAACCATAAAATTTTAACCTATGAAAAAAATTATTTATTTATTCATAATATGTATTTTGTTTAACTCAATATTTTTTGCCAATCTAAAACCATGCCACTACTTGCATCTGTTAATGTATCTAAAATAGAACCAAACATATTAAAAACATTGTAAACAAATTTTGAATTGAAAATAATAAATAATAAATATTAAATAAAAATAATTGTGAACATAAAGAAAAAAATAGTCATTTGTGAACATTACCTTTAAACATACTCATTATTTTGAAGTTAATGACTTTGTAGTGCTTGCGATCATATCAGGGACATATGAGAGCCAATTATTCGATAAACACACACTCGATAATTTTCTTGCACTGATTTCATCCTCATAATTTTCAAGATGTAAATTCCATAAAAGTAAAACATAACAAATTAGTACTTAATCATATTAGTTAAAATTCTTATTATGTAGAACATCGATATACCAATTCTGTGGCGCAAGATCATCATTTAAGAATACTCAACAATTCGTTTTCTCTTCAACACTTAATCGATATTGGAAAGATATTGGAATTGAAAAAATCACATGAAAAAAAAAGACAACAGCTTGAGGAAAAGTTACGAGAACTATATTGGTTAATGGGTAGGAGATCCCATCTTTCTGTACACAACAAAATACTGGTATACAAAGTTGTACTTAAGCCGATTTAGACATATGGCATAGCACTTTGGGGCACCACATCTAAAAGTAATGCTAACATCATTCAAAGGTTTCAGAACAAAGTTCTCAGGATCGCTTTAGGCGCCCCAAAATATACTCCCACCTGGCTGATCCATGATGACAAACATATGCGCACTGTAGCCGAGGAAGTTAAAAGATTCGCTGTTAACCACAAAGACAGACTGGAAGAACACCCAAATGAGTTGGCCAACGCACTGCTATCCACAAACACAACACGAAGACTTAAAAGAAAAATATTTAGTGATTTAATTAGATTGTAATTACTCGTGTCACATTATATTACTTATTATAAAGGAAAAATGCAACTGTGTATTTTTCACTATTTATATATCGATGTCATTTTTACATATAATTGCCAAAAGATTTACTTAATGTCTATGTAGGACAGTTGTAAATATATTGTTGAATAAATAAAAAAAAAAAAAAACTTAATCGATATAATGTGTGAAAGTTGTATTTTTCTTGAATGATTTTAAGTCTTGCTTGTTTTGTTGGTGACAAAAAATTAATATTTTCTAAAATTTTATTTAACTTTGTATATATCTTCTTCATTGAAGCAAATTTCCCTAGTTCTAAATCTATTTTCCAATATGTACAATACCATATATCTTACTTTTCTTATCTTTGTATAATATTCATATATCACTGAATTGAGGTTATGTGATTTTTGACAGGTGTGTTAGAAATTTCAATAATTATGTAATAAATCAATAATCACAATACATTAATAGATTTTGCATTGAATACGATCTATATACTAAAATGAACAATTATCATTATTATATTAATTTATAAATTAAACTAGTGGGGTGTATGGCATCGTGCGTCAAGGCAAATTGCTGGAACTTCTCGTACCGTAACGAAATGTTCGACGAATACTGAATGTTTTCAAATAGATTATTATTAATATTGTAACATTGTCTAATATTTATAAGAACTGAATTGCAAAGTTGAAATTATTTGTTTAAAGTATATTAGAACTATTGTCAGAATTAAAAATGAAATCTGTATTTTTTTCGGTAAAAAAAAAATCTTTTTTTTGAAAAAAAAGGTTAAAACAATTTTTTTTTTCCAAAATCAATTATTTTGTTAAGACAAGCAGAAAGTTCTTTGAATCATTTAAATCGGACGCTTAGTTCTCTCAAAAACTACCATTTTTTACATATTCAGCTCCGTATCTTCGAAATGGCTGGGCCTATCTTTGCCAAAAACTAATAAACACTTCTCCCAATCATTACTAATTAAATGTTCTTTAGATCATTCAAATCGGATACTCCGTTCTCTCAAAAAGTCGATTTCTATTTTCTGCACTCTTTGCTCCGTATCTCCGAAACGGCCAGACCTGCATTTGCCAAAGACTAATCAGCTCTTCTCCCTATCAATAGGAATCGAATGTTTTTTGAACCATTCAAATCGGTTGATCCGTGCGCCCGAAAACGTGACTGCAAATTTGTATCCATACATACACACACACACATCCATTTTTTCTGAGGTATGCCAAAATGTTCAGAAACCTTCAAAACGTCGAGAAATGTAAAAATTTTCAATTTCGATTTTTGGCCCATTACAATAACTTACCCTACGGGAAGTTAACTAGTGGTGAAATGGCAAATTGCTCGAACTTTCCTTTTCCCTTCCCTTCAAGTTTATTAAGACCAGGTACTACATCGCCAAACCAATTAAAATGTCTAATTTTAACAAACGTTTAAAGAACGATGCTATTTTTTTCAAATTTTGATGAATTTAAATTGAATGATTTGCCGTAGGGCCGTAATATATTATTATGGTTTCTAAGACAATGATATCTGTCGCCAAAAAAACAAATATTTTTTATCCATTAATTACAAGCAAGTTCCGTTTCGGAGCTATAGAGCTAAATGTGTAAAAAATTGCAGTTTTAGGAGAACTAAGCATCCGATTTGAATGATCTGAAAAATATTATTTTTATTTAATTTTTTTAATCAAAAAATATTTAGCATTTTAATTTTAATTCCAGCTAAGGTTCTAAACACCACTTATCTACTTAAAATAAATAATAAGAACGTTAACGTAATGTTATTTATAATAATTTACTTGAAAAAATTTAATATTCCTCGAATATTTCATTAAGATACGTTTGCCTTAAGACACGTCGCCATACACCACTAGTTGCTAATTACATGGAAACGACTCGGTCTATCGTGGGTCAAAATATATAACCGCTAGTCCTCATCGAGATACTTCCAATAATTTTGAAATCGGTCAGGCGTTTTTTAGAAAACCGCGATGAGACGTCTAATTTGGCCAAACACCAAAAAAGCTACTAATTTTATCAAACTTTGACGATTTTTTAAATCTAAACAACTTGTCGTAGAGTCGTAATATTTTAGTATATTTTATAAGACTATGATATCTAGAGTCAAAAAAAAATCATAAAAATCGTCAAAAAAATTTCAACAGTTAATTACAAGAACACGGGTGGGCCGTACTTTACCAAGAACTAATCAGCACGATTCCCAACCAACACCTTTTGTACGCTTTTTGAATTTTTAAAATGTA